GGACGGAGCGGGCCGGAGCGGGCCGGGCCGGACCGGCCCGTTTGACAGTGCTAGCTATAACTCCTTGTACAATGCCAATCTGCCAATGGCATGGGGCAAAAATTCACCAATTGCGTATGTCTCACTTGTGGTGTATTGAGCCTTAAAATTCAACAATCACAAGTATGATTAACTTTTGTATGGTCATTCTTAACATGTCAGTGTTAGTGTTATATACTGAAAGCTTGGTTTTGGATGATATTACACTTTTACCCTTTATGAATGAGAAACGTGTTAGATTAAACAAGTTTTACGTTCTGTTGTTTTGCATTAGATAGTGTGGGTCGTCATCGGGCGAACCGAAGATCATGTTATCAGTTACTCGCGAAACAAGAATAAGTGGTTCACAACCCAGATGGACATGAACACCCGATCGCGAACGGTTGTAGTGTCAACTGTACAGTTTGTTTTGACTGATTAGTTACACTAATACATTTATGTATTGAACAGGATCCCAGAGAGGAGCAGTTCGTTTTATACTGATCGTCGTAAACGAACTAGGCCTCGGTTAATTACTGCGTACTCTTAACCCGTAAGATATTAAACAGACATATATGTGTAGTATTTATTACTTTGATTCACATGGGTGAGGCTTAGTGAACTGGGTCAATAGATCCGCTGTCTTGGGTAATATTGCTACATGTAGGATGTGTTGTTAGGATATTTACGGTCACCATGTGCGTTAGTTTGATATGTCCCCGGAGTGAGTTCATGAAGGATTATTATGCTAAACCCTGCAGGTGGATTAAATTGCGGCATAGTAATAATGTGATGAACGAGCGCTAGCTTCGGTGAAATAATAATAAATTAATTAATTCTTGATTGTCAATAATTAAATTAATTAATGGACATTATATCTTAAACATGGGGAGATAAATCGAGTAATTATTATTGAAGTCTCAATTGTAAATTGGGCTAGAAAAAGGGAGTGCAATAATATTATGTTGGTGGCCCATTTAATATTATTTAATTAATTAAAATAAGTGGCTTGGTCCACAAGTATTCTAATTAATTAAGGAGCCCTAATCCTAATCTCCTAAGGATCCCTACTGTAGCTCTATATATACATCATTAAGCTCATGGGAAGAGAAGAGAATTCCACATCTTGAAAATCACGCCCCACGCCTCTCTTCTCTCTCAGTTCCCATTCGAGCTTTATCTTCTTCTTGTTGTTCCACTGGTATAAGATTAAGAGGTGTTTGAGATATACAGTAGAAGACCTTTGGGTAAAGTGAGACGAAATATATTTGGTCGTACAGAACTAACCGGAGGTCCGATCAAGACGTGCATCATACCCAGACGACTGTCTCGACGAGAGCTTTCCAACGCCGCTGAGATCGCAGCCGTCCGACCACCCACGCGCCCGCACGCGCCGCCGCAAGGTCCCAGGACATGTCTCCATCCGTTTTGCACTCGTTTGATCCAGCTTTCGATCCGATTTTGTTCGTGCAATACTAGGACGCGATTTGCAGTCAACAATTCATTGGTGTGCTGTGTACGACCATCCAGAAGATCAGCCAAGTCGCCATAAATTTTAAGCCGTAAGTTCTCTACGCAAACCTTTAGATCCGTTGCGCATAGGTTTACGTTTTGCTATTGAATTCGTGATTTGTGCATAACGAGATCTTCATTGATCCCAACAGTCAGAACCCGAATTTGGGTTGAACCGGCCATTGCAAATCTTTGATCGTTTGAAAACAACTTATTACCTACAGAACAAAGGTCAGGGGTGTTGGAACCCACGAGGATCTCGATATGCACAAATCACAGACAAACATTCAACATAAACCTATGCGCAGCGGATCTAAAGGTTTGATGAAGAAAACTTACTGCTTAAAATTTATGTAGATCTGGCTGGCCCGGACAGTTGACCGCAAATCAAATCTTCTCGGAATCGAACAAACTTGACCAATCCAGAAAGCTGACGTCACGACGAAGTCAACGGCGTTGACCGATCGGAAAAAGCTCGATTCACGCGCTCTCACGCGCGCGCGTTGTCCTCGGCAGCTGGAACCTTCCGGCGGCGCGTGGCGGCGCGTGCAGCGGCGTACGGCGGCGATCTCGACGGCGATCTCTTCGTCTCGTCGTCCTGGTCGTCGTGGTATGGTCACTTGTTGGTTTTGGTCTCCGGTTTGGATGTATGATCGGAATCTCTATATACCTTAAGATCTTCTACTGTATTCTCAAACAGCTTTCTAGATCTTGTATCAGTGGAGCACAAGAAATAGAAGAACTCCTTGGAAGAGAGAGAAAGAGAGCTGGACGAAATATAGAGCTGATGGGATTGTTCTCTTCTCTTCCATGAGCCTAATGCTGTATATATAGAGCTACAGTAGGGACCCTAAGGAGAATAGGATAAGGGCTTCTAATATATTAATACTGTGGAGCAACCCCACAATTAATATATTAATAATATTAAAGTCCACCACAATAATATTATTGCACTCCCCTCACCTATCCCAAATTACATTTGAGACTCCTTATTATAATTATCCGATTTACCTCCCCATGTTTAAGATATAATGTCCATTAATTAATTCGATCACTAATAATCAAGAATTAATTAATATATTATATTACCGAAGCTAGCGCTCGCTCATAGCATTCATATTATGCCGGAATAAATCCACCTGCAGGGTTTAGCATAATATTCCTTCATGAACTCACTTCGGGGACATCATCACACTAACGCACATGGTGACCGTAAATATCCTAATAGCACATCGAACACATAATGTCATTACCCAATTCATTAAGTATGTCGACCCGGCTTGGATCTCACCCAAAGAATCAAAGCAATAACAATTATGTGCACATGCCTATTTAATATCTTACGGGTTAAGAGCACGCAATAATTAACTGAGGCCTAGTTCGTTTACGACGATTAGTATAAAACGAACATCCCTCTCTGGGATCCTGTTCAATACATAAATGTACTAGTGCAACTAATCGGTCAAGACAAACCGTACGGTTGACACTACAACCGTTCCGATGGGTTGTTCAATTCCATCTAGGTTGTGAACCAATGATTCTTGTTTCGCAAGTAACTGATATAGTGATCTTCGGTACGCCCGATGACGACCCACTTATCTACATGCAAAACAACAGAACGTGGAACTTATCTAATCAAACATAATTCTCATTCATCAAGGAATAACAAGTGAAATATCCACTAAAGCAAAGCTTAAGTATATAACACCAACAAGGGGGAGCTCCGAACGTGAGCACTTCGATGCTCGAGTCAATGATCGAAAATAGAAAGAAGATGGTGAATGTAGTTAAAGAATTTGAAAGTGTAGAGTTTTTAGTTGTGCCTCTTCTCCTTTTATAGAGGGATATAGTGTCCAAAATTAGATGCCTGAAGCTGACCGACTGTCAAAGTTTAATCTTTATCTGCTTTGTGTTCATCTTTATCTGATTCTTTATTTATCTTAATTAAATTTATTCTTATCTTGATGAAGCTCCTTAGTCAAATCTCCTTGTCCAGATGTCCTTAATTGATTAGCTCGACATGTTGAATGTCCACAGGTCTTGTTCCTTAGTTAGCTCGTCATACCAATAAGTCTTACTTGTTATTTCATAGTTAACTCAATTTGTTGAAGGTCAATAGGCCATCTTAATTGGTTAACTCGTTAGCCCGACCTCAACTACTTCCAGTTCTAGGTAGCTCGGCTAACTCAAATTGAGCTATTTCAAGTCGAGTTTTAGTTAAGTCGACCAAGTTATGAAATTCGTTAATCACTAAAGTCGCAACTCCAATTCAACCGAGCCATGGATATATCAAATACCACATGAAAGAAATTTTTTGAAGATACCAACTTATAACACATGTTAATATGTCCACCGCTTATGTGACATGCACACATTGGTGATGTTAATACGTTCAAAAAAATACATCACCAATGTGTGCATGCCACATAAGCAATGAACATATTAACATGTGCCTACCGTGAGTAGGGGAACATTACTGACCAACTTGAATAAACAAATAGGGACAAGTAATTGTGACATACATAATGCATGAATAAATGTCCATTGTCTACACATCTCTCTATATATATATATATATATAAATATATATATAATTGCTGGTAGATACATTAAACCTATTTAACTATACCTACGTGGCAATTTTACATTTTCCCTTCAAAAATCGTTACTTTTGATTTATTTAACATTTTATTTAATTATTAGATAATTAATCAACACACTAATTACTTCAAATTTACAAAAATCATTTTAAACTTTTGATTACTAAGAGTTGACTATATAATGTGTTGACCGTATAATGTGATTAGATGTTATTATTGTGGTTATTTTTTTTTTTTGGAAAATAAAAAACGTATTTCAAATTCCTAAATAAATAATAAATAATTCACAAAAAAAATGCGTACCAAAATCATTACATCCAATCTAATAAACACGATTTTTTTTTTTTTAAAAAAAATATTCCAACTCCTTTAATTGTAAATTTGGCCTACAAAAAAGTGAAAGAAAAATCATTAATCATTATATGCATAGAAATAACTTACAATACTTTATTTATATTTGAGCAAATGCACATAGTCGAATATTAGTAACAAATAAAATAAAAATACAAAACAAAAGGCCAAACAAAATTTGAAGATATACACTTCTACCATATAAATAAGTTATTAATCGACTTATATAAGTTTTCTTTATTCAAATAAATATCTTTTCAAATAAAAATATGTTCCAATTAATTTACTAACTAAAAATTAGTATGAATTATAAGTGAACTTGTTAAAGAAAAAACTAGAAACAAAAAGGGGCACCTCAATTTTTAAAAGAAACCCTAGTTATTTCCATCATTACACTGCACATATCTAATCATTATTCACTTCCTTGAATAGTTGAATTCATGGAATCTACATGATTGTAGTCATATAGAGATATATAGCTCAAGCTAGAGATTCGATATTGCCGGATTTGGTATGAGCATGTACAGAGATCGAGGCAGAGGGAGCTCGGCAAAGGGCGGGGAGATGCTCGACTGGAAGCTAATTAACGACCCGCTGGACAAACACGTGGAGAAATCGTCTCCGTCAGCCTGCAGAAACAAGGCTTCCGCCGTCACCGTGCCGTCCACATCAGCCGCCGCCGGGAAGCATATTGATCCCCGGGACAGTCGCTTTTTGTCCACACTCAGCTCTACCAAGAACAAGCTTTCCAAGGGTACCATTTCTGCGTTTTGCAAAAGTTTTGGTTACCTTGATTTCATTGTTTTTCCCTTATTTGCTAATGTGTGCTGTGTTCAATTTCAGACGATGATTGTGGCTGTT